GCGACCTGGACACGTGAAACCAAGCATCTCGCTCGAGACGTGACGTTCTCGACACCTATTCATGCTAGACGTTTGCTTGGACAACCTGGACGCGTGAAAAAAAACGTTTTGCTGGAGACATCGTGTCCAAATCCTCATGTTAGACATCCGCCTGGGCGACCTGGGCACATGAAACCAAGCGTCTCGCTCGAGACGTTCTCAGCACATCATCATGCTAGACATGCGCCTAGGCGACCTGGACGCGTGAAACCAAGTGTCTCGCTCGAGACATCCTCAACAAATCCTCATGCTAGACGTCTTCCTGGGCAATCTGGACGCGTGAAACCAAGCGTCTCGCTCGAGACATCCTCAAGACCTGGACACGTGAAAACAAGCATTTCGCCTGAAAAATCCTCTGAATTCTGGTCCCCAGGAGAGGGACAATCTATAACACAAACAAGCGATTCGCTCGCGGCATCCTCGACACATTCTGCAAAACAAGCGTTTCGCTCGAGGCATCCGCAACAGACGAACATGTCTACTTCACCATGTGTTTGATCGATCGGAGTCTGAAGAAAGACCAGCGTTTCGCTCGGGACATCTTCAAAATCTTAACTCGCCGGCCCTGCGCGATCTTTGTTATTTTTCGCCGAATAATGTCGCAGGCCCTCCGCAAGTCGATTCCGGGAGCAAGCCCCTAAAAGAGAACCCGGGGCCCGCGCCCTTCCTGGGGATTGTGTTAAGGCGGCCGGAGGAAATTTCTGAGAAGCCCTGACGCCTCATGAGAAGGCCTTCTCCCTCGCACTCCCCCCAGGCCGCTCCGCCGAAAATCCGCCAAAGTCTGCCAAACTGAGAAGGCCTTCTCCCTCGCACTCCCCCGACCGATGGTTCAGGAATCAAATCGACGGGGCGACCTGAAGAGAAAAGCAGGCACCGGAGGTCTTCTCGCCGTTGTCGGGCTACGGTAGCCCCTCAGGAAACATGTCCTCCACGAGAATTCCTATCCCCCTCCCATCCTCTCGGCGGCTGCTCAAGGTCCCAAGTTGCCCCCAGCTTTGCGCTCCATTCTGGAGCCACTGGGGTCCCCATGGGCCTCGTGGGGGGTCCTCTGGAGGCCGTTGGGGCCACTTGGAGATCCTGGGGGCAACGTGGGCCAGGGGCACTTCTAGCAACACCCGGTCCTCTGCACCCCCTCCGTGGACTGGCCTTCCATCACGAGACCTTCTCCCGCGGTCCCAGGGGCCTGGTGAGGATCATTCGAGGCTGGACGCAGCGAACAGCGAACCAAACCTTCCGTCGCGCCTGTCTCTCACAACGCGAGGAGGCAAGGACCCCCCCCCTCCCTCTACCCGTCCTCATCGTTCGTCATCCTTCACTCTCACCGTCGACATCATCACCAGGATCTACTTCCTATTCCTCCTCATCCTCGTCATCATCACCATCAGCACCAACATCATCACGCCGCATCATCATCCCCTATCGCTCTCCCTCGTTCCCTCGTCTCCTCCCTCCCTCCCTCCTCTCCCTGTCCCTCCTCCTTCCCCTCCCTGCCCATCCGAACCGCCACGTCCCGCGTACACCCATCCTCCGGGCCGTGCCTCGCACCCACCGTCACCTGCCCCGCACACTCTCCCTTTCCCATCCTCTACACCCAACCCCGCTCACGCCCATCCTCCCACACATCCTAGCATCCCAATCAAGCCAACGAAAAACTCCCAAGCAGCTGCTCCCCATCCCTCCATCCGTCCCATCCTCACCACTCCCTTCCCCGTCTTCTCCACCATCATCCTCGTCCGAGCCATGATTGTTTGCCGCTTTGGGCATACGTTAGCCCTCCACGAATCCTGGGGCTGTCAACCATGGAGAGCCCAGGATGCACAGGCTGCCCCAGGTGAAATGAAACCGAGCTTTTCTACAGGTCCGCATCCTCCCTCTACGCTCCCAAGTCCTCCTCTGACTGGTTTCCCTCATCTTTGATGCGAGGTGGAACAACGAGGTGGATCTGCCCTCCTCTGGGGAGGGTTCCCAAGATTCAGGACCCGCTTCCCTCAGAACCCGCGTCCTTCTGTAGGGGCTTCCCAGATGGGGTTCGCATAAGTGGAATCGGATGATGAACGCCGCATACCCGACGCATCGCCGATGCATCGGCGATGCAGCAGCGATGCATCGGCGTCCTGCTGGTGATGTGGCGCCCACGCTCGAGACACCTGCGGGCTCCAGCACGATTCGTGTGTTGAACGTTATTCGGTTGGTTCGTGGACCAGTGGGCTGCCCAAACTATCGGCTATCTCGGAGCCGATGGGCTGACGGGCTAGCGAATTGACTGGCGGCTCAGAGGGTGCTCGTGTTCTGAGTGGATTCAGGGGCTGATGGGTTGCACGAGATCTCTGAGAACGCTCGATGTACAGGTCACTGATCAGTGGCTCAAACGGGATCTCCGGGGGGGTGGAGGGGTCGCGGGCTGGTGTGCCACACGGGATCACAGGGGGCGATCCGTCCTTTTGCGGGTCGACCCCTCCCCCTCCTCCTCCTCCGCCTCCTCCTCCGGGGCTTCACGGGCTGGCCACTTGAACGGGATCTGCTCGGATGCTCGCTGTGTGGGCCTTGGGTCGGTGGGCTGTTGTGCCGCAAGTTTAGACAGGACCTCTGGGGCTTGAGCCGCAAGAGGTGGCAGCGCGGCGGTCGTCGCCGCCGCCCTCGTCGTCGTCGCCCGCGCTGGGATCGGTTGGCTGACATGGCGACGATTTGAAGGTGACCCCCGAGCGTATTAGCCTTGTGGGAGCCGGGTGACGTCGATGGTTTCAAACGGCCAGGCAGTAGCCCTGGAACTGGGCAACTTGTACTAGTACGCAGCTGCTGGGCAATCTATGAGAAAGTCAGGCAAGGAGGGGAGGGCGACAAAACAATTAGGAGGCGGAGGCGAGACATACTATATGAGCAAAGGGCATCGGAGATACGCGTTCGTGGTGTACTCAATCATTGAGGAAGCCCTTACACATAAAGATACACATATGTCACATATATATATACATAAATATATATATACACATTACACATATTCGGTCCCAGTCCGCAAGCAAACAGAGAATGAATAAACACACGGATTCGTACCCCTGGAAAGGGCCAATATATAGGCACATACTGAACACACGGATCTGTCCTGGAGAAGGCAAACCTATAGGCATATACGTTCAAACACATGGACTCGTGCCCCTCGAGAGGGCCAATCGATAAGAACATACATTAAAACACGTCGATTCGCGACCCGGGAGAAGGCAAATCGATAGGAACATACATAAAAACACAGGCAGATGGGGCCCAAGGGTGGTGGAAGACTGCGACAAGCATCGATCCTCGATCCTCCTCCCCAGAACCTCACACCTCAAACGACGTCGTCGCTGTCGTCGTCGTCGTCGTCGCTGTCGTCGTCGTCGTCGCTGCCGTCGTCGCTGTCGTCGTCGTCGTCATCGTCGTCGTCGTCGGTCGCTGTCCCGAGGGAGGCGGTGGGATCGCGAGGCCCCCACGCGGGCACCCGTCACTTGAGCAGGGACCGACCGTCCCGGCGTTCCTATAGGCCTACCACGACATCTTCTTAGGACAAATGATGTTCTAAGAACAAGAACAGGGTTCTCAGAACGTAAGCCAGGATCCAGGATGTGCTGAAACAAGGCAGGCTCAGCCAGAACTGCTCCAAAAAAATGTCGTGGAAACCACAAGAGGTTCTCAGAACAGTGTTTGGTAGGCCTATAAAAGCACGCCGGGACGCTTCGCCACCGCTCGAGTCACAGGAGGGCGCCAGACCCAGGCACGGCCCAGGCTGGGCGCAGCATCGGCGCGAGCGCGCCCTCCCCTGGCCTGGCCAGGGAGGCACGCACCCCAGAATAGTCAGGGCCGCGCACAGAGGGGCGGGCATCGGGAGAGGTAGGGAAACGAACTCTATATACACCGACGCTTCTTCCGACCCTGCGCTGAAATTCGCACAGGAGCGCTGGTCCTGGTGTATACGGGGTCCTGGTGTATACATGTTTCGTTGTTTCCCTTGGAAAACGGGAGAAAAGTATACACCATTCATACCACCCCGACGTCGTCCCCGACCCTCAGGAAGTCATGGGATTGGAAAACAACCCGCCACTGGTAATGTATGTGTTCCAGTTCCCGAAGAGGGGGGAAGGCTTCTTGGAAGGAGGCTGCTTCGAAGAAGACGCAGGCCTTACGTCTTCAGACAGGGCCCGCGCCTGCTTAGCAGCCCGGGTGCTTCTAGGAGGCCTTCCCCCCAAACCCCATTCAGTCGGGGCCTTGACCTAAGGAGCCCAAAATAAGGAACGAGGCCCCTTTTTTCCATAAGCTAAACTTCGATTTCCCACCGAAGACCTAAGGAAAATCGAGGGCAGGCTGCGAAACACTTAAGGAACGCGGAGCCCCTCCCCAACGACAAGGGTTCCTTCTTCAGGGCCCCGACTGTAGCCCCCGCTGCGCGTGGACGGAGCAGGCGGCGACGGCCGAACCCTACCCCCGCAGCCGACGGTCCTCCTGAATCGGTGGCGGGAGGCGGGGGCAGGGTTCGGATATTCGCCTCGTGCTCGGCGAATTTCCGCACCCTGCCCCGGCCGCCCACCGAGCTGCCCGAATCGATGATCGGCAAGGCAAGGCCAAGCGTTCTGAGCAGGGACCGACCGTCCCGGCACTCCTATAGGCCTACTACCACGACATGTTCTCAGAACCCAAACATGTTCTCAGAACAAAAGACCATGTTCTTAGAACAGATGCCCGATGATTTTTTAAAACAAGACAATCTCGGCCAGACACGTTCTGAGAACAGCTCGTGGAAACCACAAACGGTTCTTAGACCATTGTTTGCCAGGGCTGCAGGCGAGCGAGGGACGCTTCGCCACTGCTTGAGCGTTCTGGTCCGTTGCCGCCGAGCCCAGCCTGGGCCCGGGGGCCGAGCCAGGCCAGAAGCGAGGCCGCGGTGCTCCAGCTGGCGCCCGCCGGCCCCACGGAGGCCCGGGCGCGCGGCCCGC